TGGTTTCGTGGTTTCATGGTTTCATGGTTTCATGGTTTCATGGTTTCATGGTTTCATGGTTTCATGGTTTCATGGTTTCCTGGTTTCGTGGTTTCGTGGTTTCATGGTTTCGTGGTTTCGTGGTTTCGTGGTTTCATGGTTTCATGGTTTCATGGTTTCATGGTTTCATGGTTTCATGGTTTCATGGTTTCGTGGTTTCATGGTTTCATGGTTTCATGGGTTCATGGGTTCCTGGGTTCATGGGTTCCTGGGTTCCTGGTTTCGTGGGTTCCTGGGTTCCTGGGTTCCTGGTTTCGTGGGTTCATGGGTTCATGGGTTCATGGGTTCCATGGGTTCCATGGGTTCCATGGGTTCCGTGGGTTCCGTGGGTTCCGTGGGTTCCGTGGGTTCGTGGGTTCGTGGGTTCGTGGGTTCATGGGTTCATGGGTTCATGGGTTCATGGGTTCATGGGTTCATGGGTTCATGGGTTCATGGGTTCATGGGTTTGGGGTTTGTTTGTTTTTGTGTCGGAGGTTTTGGGTTCGGGTGTTGGAGGTTTTGGGTTTGGGTGTTGGAGGTTTTGGGTTTGGGTGTTGGAGGTTGAGGTTTCGGAAGGGATGTGTTTGCAAAGTTTTATTGCTCTTAATATTTCCACATCCACCTCAGCAGGTTACCTTCCGAATTATCGTGCCCTTGAGTTAGACCTCGAAGACACTCGGCAATGGCGTGGTGAGTTGGGGAGGATGTATGAAATTCAGCGAGACCGACCTGACTATGTGCATATGTCGAGGTACTAACCAGCACGTTCTTGGGCGATGAGGGACCTCTGCGGCATTTGCATCTTCATCCGAGGCGGTCATCAGCCGATCGTCGTGTTCGCGTACACGATTGAACTTTTTTTCAAGTCTAATTGTAATTGGCTGCAGCTAGCGCTAGGAGCCATCTGCTTTTAGCATTTCATTCCACAGGACACCACCTGTCATCATCTAATCGCAGACGCAGATTTCGACACCATCACATCTAATGATCATGAACGACCTGAGATCGCCTATTTTGAATCCTCATGGTGGACTCGTCATCTTCTCTCTCTGTTGATCCTTGAGTAATTTGATGAGACCCCCACAGAAACTTCCGAGAAGGCGCGCGCAAACTCTTTGTGGTCCCCTTGTTCGGGAAGTACCTAATATAGTGTGTCCTCCATCAAGATACCGTTAACGAGCAATTTTTGCCCCGTACTATAATCCACATCAATGATCTTTGTCCAGTATAATCCTCTAATGCCTAAGTCTTTTGCGCAAAAGCTCCATGAGCGATATCAGAGTCTCCTGTGTCTGAGTGATATCGTACTGGGGAGCAAGAGTCTGTTGATGATCGTTTCTGTCCTGAAGAGCGAGAGGGAGGTGAGAGAATCTTCTTCTAACATCAAAGAATCAACAAAACGCCCTCCGACTCTGAGAGCGTCTGTCCTTGAGCGACGGTAGTTAACTTCAGGTAGAACCGTATGATCCACAACTTCAAGACAGAAGTGATCTGTGATCTTGGTTGAGCTTGTGGTGCCGTCTTCAACTAAGTTCCATTGGTCCACATTTCACTTGCTGCACTTTATGAATTCTATGATCATCTTCAGGGAACCCCATGCTTTGAGCTTTTGGTGCAAGCTCTTTCTGAGGCAGCATCCCCGCCGTGGTTTCTGTACCGATCGACCGCGCAGCACTGTCCATGAGTGTTATCTTCATTACATTGTGCTAAGGTTCTACTTGAGTCAGTAGAGTCATCAGAAGTCACAACATCAAATGAACACTGATAAGCATAAGTTTCTTTTGTTTGAGGGATTTGATCTTGGTTGTCATAATGCCGATGATGAAAGAAACGGCCCTACTGCAGCTAATTCTAAAATTGAAGTAACGACTCAAAGCAAAATCAACATGACCGCACATGCTCCACTAGCCTCCGTACCTCAACCTCAAAAGGAGGGTCTCTTGTTCCTCTTCAGCGATGATAGGAAAGCAAGCGGAGCTGGTACCAAGAGCATAAAGCCAATAACTCACGTCGAATCATCAGACAAACAAGCTTCTGCATTCGCATCTCTTGCCTCTTCGAGTTCTCAAAACAAAAGCACATCTGGCGGGAAGAACAAGAGCTTATACCAGTCGGCTAGGAAATCTTCAACTTCATCGCATAAGGATGTTGGTGATGGTCATGGTGACGAGAATGACCATGTGCATCGAAAGTCGTCGTCATCGACGAAACATAATCACGATGAAGGAAAAAGCAGCACTGCAAAATCAAAGCACAACGATGACGCGAAACACTCAAAAGACGAGGACAAAGCTAAGAAAAAGAGCCATGTGGTCGAGACGGAAGAGCCGCAAGATGAAAAAGGCATGAAGAGCCTGCGCTCCTCTTCAATCGACAAGGCACATGAACGACTAGGAGGTGATGAAGACGAGCACAAGGTGGATAAGGAACACGACAAAGCTCAACACGATGATCACCATGATCATGGTAAGAAAAGCACACGTAAAAGCCCCTCATCTCCAAAGAGACCACCAACTACATCACCTAGTTCAAAAAGTAGTCGAAAAAGCACTGCTCCTACTCCTAGTACGTCGACGGATCATAAGCACAAAAAGGCACCTCCAGCAGCAGAAGGAGAAGCAGCTCCGCCACGCAGAGGAAACGATGCTGAGCATCATCCACCTGCACCTAATTCACCCACCGCTAGAAAATCCATAGCTACGTCGAAGAAACCGCAGAAATCTGTCGTAGCACATCATGAAGATCATCATGCCAGAAAGTCTTCAACTTTGTCTCGTCAGGATGTTGGTGATGGTGAAGACGACGAAAAGCACGATGAAGGTCATCAAAAAAAGAATGGCAAGGAGCATCACGGAAGAGAGCATTCTGAAGAAGGACATCACGAAGATCCAATGAAAAGTGCTACCGTCTCCAACGGCAAAAACGAGCACGACGCTCCCTTCCAGCTCGCTCTTTTGTCCAATGCTCATACAACCGAGATGAAAAAACTAGGCATTACAGGATGGGAGCAGATGCACTTGAACGAAGACCTGTTGTCGGGTGACACTTTAACAGGTAGCGAACGTTTGTGGCACTTATTCGGCATCAAGTTAGACTGGAGTTGTTACCCCATAGTCAGAGTTGCGGAAGTTTTGCCGAAAACGGAGGCTGAAAACGGTACAGGGCCTGTAGATGAGTTGGATGGAAAAAAAGCGAGTAGGGCTGCTGCAGCCGGCATCGCAGTAGGAGATATTTTGCTGCAAATCTACGAAGACAGAATCACAAGTGTCGCTGGTTGGCCGTCAAACAAGGACACTCCTAAGGGGAAGAGGGACGGTCCAGATGAGGCAGTGATACGACATTTGCAAAAGCATTTAGCAGCTGCATCTAAGAGTAAAGCAGAACCAATCCGCTTTGTCTTCTTCCGACGTAGATATGAACGACAGTATGCAGTATTGGCCTTTGATCCGCATGAAGGCTTGCCTCTGGGGATCAAAACCGAACCGCTACCTGCAGAAGAAATGGAGGAACATGAAAAAGATTCTAAAAAGAGAGCTCTTGGCTGTCCACTTATCCTGTCCTTCGATACAGATGCGATTACCGGCTGGGCCAGAGAGAAAGGACTCGAAGCAGGAGACAAGGTCTACGCCATCCAACGAGAGAGAATCACCTATGGTAACGCCAAACTGGAAAAGGCGAATCTGGACCACTACCATGGCAAAAACTCCAAAGTGTACTTGCTAGTTCGACGAGAACCGAGTCTGCCTCAGAATATCCGGAAACAATTAGCTGTGGATTTCAGCGGAAGTCGAGTCGCTTCCTTGCATCATGATTGGCAACAATCAGTTAAAGAGAGTGCTGCGGAAAGTACCAAAAAATTTCACGCGTCTTCTTTCTCCTCTAAAAAGATGAGTACGTCTTCAACGAACTCAAGAAAGGCGGAAGAAGATGCTAATACTAAGTCGGAATTACAAGTTGGACATGAGAAGACCATTGAAGAAACGGCTCAGCGACAGGGAAAAAGTATCAGCATTAAAGTAGCAGAAAATCATCCCGTTACACCTGAAGAAAGTAGGAAATCAAGGCACAACGATGACGCGAAACACTCAAAAGACGAGGACAAAGCTAAGAAAAAGAGCCATGTGGTCGAGCAGAGGGGAAAGCCGCTTGAGAAAAGTATGAAGAGCCTGCGCTCCTCTTCAATCGACAAGGCACATGAACGACAAGGAGGTGATGAAGACCAGCACAAGGTGGATAAGGGTCACGACAAAGCTGAACACGATGTTGATCATGATCATGCGAAGAAAAGCACAGCACGTAAAAGCCACTCATCTCCGAAGAGACCACCAACTACATCACCTAGTTCAAAAAGCACTCGCAAAAGCCTTCCTCCTACGTCGACGGATCATAAGCACAAAAAGGCACCTCCAGCAGCAGAAGGAGAAGCAGCTCCGCCACGCAGAGGAAACGATGCTGAGCATCATCCTGCACCTAGTTCACCCGCCGCTAGAAAATCCATGGCCACGTCGAAGAAATCGCAGAACAAATCTGTCGTAGCACATCATGATGATCATGACCGTCAGGCTATAAAGTCAGTGTCAGCCCACAAAAAGTCTGCAGTCATCAAGAAAAAAAGTGTTGCACCTCCGACTACACATGGAGCCGAGTTGCCTCCGCATTCTTCGGATTCGTCTGGTGAGAACGCTGCACCTCTAGGAAGCAGCTTCCAAGGGCAAATGAGCAAAGCTAGAAAGTCTATTGCCCCTTCAGCCGGTGCTTCGATAGGTGCAGCTGGACAGCTTGTTCTTGAACAAGATGACGAGGAGGAACAAGAAGAACAGACTCGTCCAGTATTTTTGAAAATACAACCAGCAAGTGGTCATCTACGTCTACCACATCATGCAGCTCCTCCTCAGAGAACAAAGACGAGAAAAAGTGGAGCTCCTGCTGTAGGAACACGACATGCACATGCTGAAGATCCTCATCCTGTGAGCAAAAGTAGACCACACGCACACATTCTTGAGACACGACCAAAGGGAGGCCCAAGGGGTCGAGGTGAAGGAGAAGCGATGGATTATAGTAGCGGTCCTTTAGTTATGGAGCAAGGATTCGATCCCAGAGAGTCCTCTGAAGATGGTGAAGCAGGTCAACAACCTAGTATGGAGGTTCGCGGCCATCCGTCACTACCTGGCGCAGGGGCTGCTGTCAAACAAGTTGTTGCGAAGAGGAAGAATCCCATCAAAATCGAGCCTCCGGAGATTCCTCCTTCAGCAGAGGAGGTGCAAACGACTCAGATATTCGCGCAAAGCGCTATGGAGTTGCTTGGCCGGTTAAATCGCGTTTTGTTCACGGAAAGGTTTGCCCAAGAGGACACAGTCGCTGCTTTTCGGCCTCTGATCGGCGCACTAGAGAGCATTCGCAGACACGAAGCGCGCGACGAAGCCAGAGAGCGCGGTTATCAGACTCTGGATCGGATGCTAAGAGAAGCGCAAAGAGGCATCAGTGCACAGCTTGGCGCCAGTGCGGCAATGGCAAATCTGCAAAGGACTCATCCTAGCACAGTACAAAAGAGGATCGCGGAACGAGGGATCCACAGAACGAAGGCTTTGGAGAGAATCGTACAGCAGTCGGTAGAAGATGCAAAAAACACAGTAGAAGCGCAAAAACATGCTTTGGAGAAGCAGAGACATGAGAAAGTTGAGAAGAGGTGGGCAGCGCTAAATCGTGATGATGTGCCGAATTCTAGGGATGGTACTAGAGGAGGGAACAATGATATGGATCTGGTTAGCGAAGACGTGGTGAATGAAATCGAACAAAGGCCCTATGATTTCAGGATGAACGAAGATGAAGGCGAAGATATGGGTGAGGGTGAAGATTTTTACCAAGGGGAAGACGACTATGCTGGAGAAAATTTCGATGATGGAAACGCGAACGCCTTTCTCCAACAACGCGCAACTCCATCAAATTTCCTCCCCACAACCCGTGGAAAATTCGCTGCTCCTGAGGGACAAGCGCAAGCTTTCGGTACTAGACGTTCAGGTGCTATGTCCCAAAGAGCCTTTGGGGGAAATATGGACGGGCCTCAAACGGCTCTCCAAAAGCAGCAAATGCTGTACCAACAACAAAGAATGGCACCAGGGAATCGCGTGCAGTTGTATTATACAGAGGAGAAACAGACTCAGACGAGAAAGCCTGCTGTCAGTGTCAAGAGGACTACTCGTGGTGGATCAACTAGTACGTCTAAGGACGGCACTTCACAGAGTTGTAGTCGAAAAGAATCCAGCAGTAAGAATACGAAGCCCAAGCCATCTTCCAGAAAAAGAACTCCTCTAGCGCCATCTTCCAGAAAAGACGTGAAAGAAAAACGCGACATTGAACCAGCAGAAGAAACTCATGCTGATGATCTTGAAGATGCTGCTGAGGATCTTGAAGATGCTGCTGTGGATCTTGACGACATGGTAGTTCTAAAAGATTCAACCAAAGTAACTCCTGTAGAAGGAGGAAGAGGAGTCACTTTTTCCAGCGCTTTGCGTTCCGTACAAGAATGGTTTACGTTTAGTGGGACAGAAGAAGAATCGACTTCGACGGTGGACGCTGATGCAGTCGCACAACGACCAGCAGACTTCGAGACTACATCTTCATCTCCAAAGTTGTACTATTCGATAGACATAGGCGACGAGAACAACGAAAAGGAAAAATCTGCGGCCCGACTCGAAAGGAAAAAGCTTCTGTACAAATACTATGCACGAAAGATTCGAAAAGCTAAGAACAATGTCGTGGAGCAGCGTGTCGTGGATGCTGCAAGAGATTGTCGACCAGAGCAGTCAATGGCTTGCATAGATCAGCTTTCCTCTGTGCTTGATTTATGCTATGACAAGGAGCTCGCAGGTGCTGTCGTGGATAAGCAAAATGAGTCGTCTGCAGATGAAAGCGAGCAAAGTTTGGGCATAAGTTCGCATGTTCAGATTCTTGAATAATCGATGACGATGATGTAACAGAAGCTCTTCTTCTCCCGAGCAACTTTTTATTTTTTTTATCTCTCGCTGTTACACGGCATGAAGCCGCGCTAGATTCGTTGTGTTCTTCTAGACAAGATAAAGCATATAATGTGGTCAATGCACTAGGATCGGTCCATAGCTGTGATACAAGATTTAAGCTTTTACAAGATTTAAGCTTCATTCACATGAGAGGAGAGTCTAGCGTGAATTAGATGCAGGCTGCCTTGACCTTCGTAGTTGATAGCGCCGATTTCTACTTACCATCAATAGTACTACAAGAGACTCACTGCTCAAAACTACAGACTGACACCTCACACACACGACCACCAGAAGATGTACCAGCAACAACAGCGTGGTCCTTCAACTCGTCTGGGTGGACGGCCACCTCGAACTGCGAGTATGCCAGACAACAGGTCACCAGGTCTGGCTAGTCGTGCCTCTTCCACCTGTATGGTTCTGGTATTTGGTAACCTGAATTTGATCCTAAGGGTTCTCTTCTTGTTTTCCCTTATGATCAAATTCAGGTTACCAAATACCGGAACCATTCACCACCATGCTGGATATAGCACGATACCAGGACGACAATCTCTTCGAAGTGCAGCAGACGGCCAGAAGATTGATGGATGAGACCTTGCGCCACCTCAATGCGCCACCTCTCTTTCCTATCCACGATCATGTGATTCCAGTCGTTGAAGGAGGTCAGAAAGTTCATGATCGACATGTGGCTGTGGAAGAAAAAGATGCTGGCACCTTATTCGAAGATCATGTTCTTAGCTTAGAAGAAGACGAGACTAGTTTCCATCCTCGGAGGAGAATAAAACCTGTCGGACCTCTGCAAACAGTCGATAAGCGTCAAGCTGTGCGGCTCAAGTTGCAGCTTCAGCTAGCTCAAGAACGGAAGGAGAAGCTGCAACAAGAATTAGAAAGACAAAAGGAGTTGGAGCTGGAGCGCAAGCGAATCGAAGCAGAGGAACTAGCCAAACGACGAGCTAGGCAGGAAAAAGAAAGAAAAGACAAGCTGCGTGAACTAGACACAGTCACAGGAAAATTCGGACTAGCTGCGCATAAGATGAAAGGTGGGAGGAAGAAGAAGATATTAAAGCTCCTGCCGAACAAGGGTATATCGAAATCCCCGGGTCGTGTAGCAGGTGTAGGAGAAAGTGAAAGTGAAGATTACACCTCCGCTGAAGATGAAACTGAATCTGGAATAGATGTAGATGAAGGCGGTCGCGATCTTCGCGAAGAGGACGCATCAGAGATGAAGAATAACAACTTAGTAAAGATCTTACGCAGGCAGCGTCACGATTTGTTGCAGGAGATTGCAAGATTGGAGACCGAGCTGGCCTTGAGACCAAAGAAAACCACCTCTCCGACTATGAAGGAGATTCAGCAGTTTGGTGGCGAACTTCTAGGACTGGCAGGTGGCTTTCTTCAGGGAGGAGGTGCGCACCCTATGCGACGACCTTCGATTAGTACGAAGAACAATGTGTATGAGAAGAAGGTGGACAACGAGAAGCAGGAGAGTCGAGACGAGGAAGAACAAGATGATGATGAGGAGGAAGACGGCTACGCCAACAAGCTCACTACTACTTTAAAGACACTTGCATCATCTCACTACCAAACCGTGGCAGACGCTGTTTATGCAAGATACGATGATATCGCTAAGTCCCAGCTAGTCCGGAAGCGCGCACGGACAATGAGTGACTTGTCACAGAGGGTTTGGAATCTTGTTGGCGGAGCAGGTGTGACTCAAGGAGACCAGGATCCGGAAGATGCTGACAAACCGACAAAAGGAGCAAAAGATGGTGCTGACGCAACTGATCCTCTTGATCTCGACGACCCCGAAGGCAGTAAAATTTTTGTCCGCCACGTCGAGGAGGAGGAACACCGACTAGTTCGTGAGGCAGCGTCACGTTGGCACAACGCCTATTCGGAGGAACGGGCGGCGAAACTAGAATCCCTGGTGACAGAAATAGAGTCGAGAATCAAGGATATCGACACTCTTGCGCGCGAGCATGCACAAACGAGGACAAAGCGCCTAGCCGAGATCGAGGAGTTGGAGAAAGAACTGAAAGGCGTGAAGGACGTCGCACCTGGTAGTAGAGACAAGAAGTCTATTCTGAAGAGTAAGGCTAGACAACAACGTGAGGAAGCACTGGGGAGGCAGCGGAAAAAAATGCAAGAAGAAATCGAGAAGATGAAGAGGGATCTTAAGTTATGATGAGGGATCCTCAACCTCATTGAGCAATATCTACTCGTCCAACCTTTCATAGAGCAGCGAGAGCAATAAATAGTACCTTCTAGTTCTAACCTCCATGATCTTCTAACAAAAGCTTTCGATCACAGGGAGATGCACATCAAACGTCTAGTTCGGGATGTGCCGATCCTAGAGATGCATCTGGATCGAGTCGAGACGGCACTGTTTCGAGAAGATGAGAAACAACATTTTCCTTGGGAAACGCAAACGGAAGATGCTGATCATCAAGACGGCAAAGCCAAGGGCAAAGAGGTTTGTCACAAAGAAGATGACGAGGTGCTTTTTATCAAAGCCGAATCTAAAGGTCGTAAAGGAGATGAACAAGATACTACGGGTCGTGCAGACAAAAGTTTGTATGATAGAGTCTCGGATTTGCTGATGTTGTCATCTTCTCCCAAGCTGCCAGTGAACAAGGAAAAGAACAACATCGACGATGAAGTGACGATGTTTCACGCAGATGATCATGTTGCGCCGTCACCAGCACTTCCTCTTCCGCCTGTTGAAGTGAAAGAATCGGCGACACAGACGGATCTCCTTAATGTTGAGCAACTAAATCTAGTATCAGAAGAGCCTCGTGAGGATAAAACAGCAGCTGCAGCACTAGAAGCCGTAGACGATGACAAGGGTGCTGCATTTGTTCCGACACCTGTTGACGACGGAGTGAAGCCCCTGGGACTTGCAGCTGGACCAGCTGAAGATGAGCATCCTCGTAGAAAGTCCTCTCTTGTTACAAGGATGAAGCCAAGATTTTTGACATCTCCAAGGTTAATGAAAAGCCCTAGGGAACAAGCTCGACATGATCGTGATATTCTTGGCAAACACATCAGAGGTCGGAGACGGCCTAGAAAACCCGAGGATTATTACAAGATCAGAGACGAGGATGGCGAAAGAGTCTACACTCTAGGAGATGAGCACCACAGGTTTATCAGCGTGCGTGAACAAGGGATGACTCGATCACAGACCACTGCAGATGTTGAGATTGCTCCGGAAGTAATTCTTTCTCAACCAGAAGATCCTGTTTCAATTCTACAAGCAAGGAATGAAGAAGAGGTAGAGGATTTAGAACAGCCAGACGTGTCTAGCACAGCTGCTGCTTCGCCTTTTGGTGCCATAGGTGACTTTTTGTCTCACACAGTTGGACTTGGAGGTAGCGAAGACAGGAGTCAAGAACTAAAGGTTGCTGCTGATGGAGAGGTTGGACCAGCGGCCGGAGATGCAGACCATGACGATGTACAACTAGAGAAGTCTCTAGATGAGGCCAAGCAGGGAGTAGTAGAGGATAAGCAAAAGGAAGCGAAGACAGATTCTCAACACGATCACGTCGACCAGGTCAGAAAGCCTAAGTCTTCTTCTTCTAGAGCCAAGCCAAAACCTCTTCTAAACAGTCGTGACGCACGACGCGCTGCGCGAAAGGTTCGTGAACGCGTTGAGGCTGCAGTCCATCAAGTGGCAGCTAAGGCGCATTACGAAGCAATAGATGAAGAAAAAAGGGCAATGTTGTACTTCACGGGTGGAAAAGAACCTTGTTCTCCAGAGGACAGGAGAAGGAAGAGCGCGAAACAGATGGAAAACGGAGGAGTAGCCTGATGCTGTTGCCGCTTTGTACAGGAACAAAATCACAAAATAAATGAACACTCCTAGTAGGTGTCTTCAAACTAGTAGCGATATAACGAAAACGACAATCACACTGTGCCACGTTTTCACACTCTCTGTACAGTTTTTGGTACAGTTGTCGCGTCGTCGTGAACATGCCACAAAGATATTATTGGGGGACGCCTCTGCTCCTACATATTCACTTCTGCTGATGCCAAGCAACCATACTCTATTACTATTCCCGGCGATGTCTATAATTCCACTCATCACATTGATGTCACTCATCACCTCCAGGCAATCTCGTCTTCAGCGATAGGTACGAGCTCCACGCCGCGCCTGCTCATGTTCTTCTCTGGTAGATGAAAAAAGTTTCTTTACGTTCGGTTGTGTAGCGAAATCTGAAGATCATATCAAGTACTTCTGCAGCGAAAGTACTCAGCAAGTCGGTCCAGCCAGCGACACTCAATTGTTAATAGATCATACGTTACCGTTCATCCTTTTCTACAACGAGTAATAAATCGAGCAGCGAAGTAAAATCTCGCTCGAAGATCATTGTCTCTCTTCTCTTTCTTCAGGACAAAAGGCATTCGTAGACTACTTCTACTTGTTGTTTCAGATTTTGTGTTTTTGACAAATCTTCCGACTGCCCTAAAAATACTAGATTTCGCATGTAGTTCAAGTTCACCTAAAAATACTATGTATAATTTCACCCAGTTTTTCAGCATCCACTTCATCAATTATATCGCCTGATTTTGTTCCTCATACATCGCCAACAACCATGGTTTTATATATTCTTCAAGTTTGTTGATGAACAAATAATATGAATATGAAGAAGCGGCAACTGCCCTCTCCCTGCTTCATCAGCTCCTGAAGAAACCCACATCTAGAACGAGGACCAGGCAAGTGCTTTCTCCTTCACCCTTGTTCCAACGAATGTCATGTCTCCACGCAAGGAACGACCCGAGCGACCTAACGCCTGGAAGCTGTGCCGGTGGTTCATTTTTGGGTGTGCCTACTGCGTCATCGCCTTGAGCCTGTGCTACATCCTCTTTCTCGATGCAGTGGAACTCCTTGAATTCGACAGGTTTGGTGAGAGTCATTTTCTTCCACAAGAACGAGCGCGAGATGCAACAGGCGTTGCAGTTGCCACCGACACTCTGCTGGCACAAAGACTAGGAGAAGATGAGGGCGCAGATACTGGCGGATCTGCTACGCAGTCGTGTTATGGCTACTAGTTGTACCTACAACTGTGATTGCATCCTACTTGGTCCACCTCTCTCACTCTCTATTCAGTGAAAAAAGGAAGGAGAGAACGATGCAATTGCAGTGGGTACTCTTCTTTTAACCCCAGTGCGCGACTCTTCGTTCTGCGCTTCCGCTTGGCTATCCTGGCAGCGCCACCATTGAGGTTTGGGAAAGAATTCTGGGGGATCGGCATTTAGTAGCCTTTATTGGCTACCTGATTCCTGTCACCTTCTTGGTGCTTTTCGTTCTGTTAGGATGTCTCCGCTTCTGCCTGTGCCGTAATGCTGGTCCTCGTGGTAGACGAGAAGGTAGAAAACTGTGTTGCGGTTGCTGTCCCGGTGTTGGTTCTTCAAGAAATAGTAGAAAACTACAAGGTCAGGGCGTGATAGAGGACCAGGACGGCCTGTCCTCCGAGCAGCGGCAACTTCTTCTACCACAAACACCCTTGCACCAAACGAAAAGCACACAGAAGACGAACATAGTCCTACAACGATCCGGTGGCTCATCTACTGCGAAGAAGAGCATAGGCCGTTCGGATAGCGGTCTACTCAGCAAAACAGTCGATTCCCGAGAAAAGCCGCGACGTTCCTGTTGTAGCTGTTTCACCGCTATGTTTCTCTGTGGATGTGCCTTCCTATTGTACCAAAGTTCAGGCGGAGCCTTTCTGCGTGGACGAGCAGCTGCCTTCCGGTATCACGTGCGACCAGGCCAGTGGTATCATATCCGTGTGGACACATTACAGTGCATGCTTGCAAAAGCAGGGTTAGGTACGTGGACACAACAGCTTGTCGACTATACACGTGGTGACCGTTATCGAGCTCTTTGCGCCAAGCTTAGAAGAAGTGATCGTTCCTGTACTGGAGATGGTAGGGATATGTGGTTACGAGTACAGTTTGCGGATTGCAGAACATCTACTGCTGGAGATACAACAACTACAGAAGATCATGTTGACAACCTTCTTGGCAGAACGAGTGACGAGGAGCAAGCGGATGAAGAAGTTGAGGATCCAGCCTTTGATCAACAGCTTCAGGCACAAGCTGCAGAAGAGCAACACTTGGTCTCTCTGGACCGTGCTGTGCAACTCGCGACGAAACTACTTCATGACCGGTCTATGCAGAGAGAGATAACAGTTTCAGGAGGCCAAGACCATGTCCATGCGACCACAAATGCAGCACTTGAAGTAGATCGTTTCGTTGCTAAGTTACAGATTGGTGATGGAGGTGACAGGAGTGGAACTACCGGAAACAAACTTGGTGCTGTCTGGGTGGATATCCTAGAAGATAGTGCAGCAAATGAACTTGATGATATCGCAGAAGTTCCACTTCCAGACGACGCGGATGGAGGAGCAACAAGAACTTCTCCCATAAGAAGTGCAACTACAAGAACTACTGCTGACCCTTCACAGTTGGCAGTAGCGCGTGCTCGCCTCGTTGCCGGTCTACTTCGATACCAACGAGAAAGCAGTGCAGTTGGCTTTGCCTATATCGTGGCGCAACATTTTTTCGTCTTCTTCTTGCTCTTCCGAGTCTACCGAAGAGCCCGACGTGCAGAGGAGGAAAACGGGGATAAGTTCTTCGGAGTTTTTGGAACGGCTGGTGGTCGGCACAATCTCGCTTTACCTAGCAGTCGATTCACTGGCAAAGTTCGAAGATGTTGCAGTTTTCGAATGCTGCTGGTAAGTCAGAAATGCGTCTTGATTATCGTCACCCTGAGTCTCATATTGGCAATGACAAGCGTGTCTTGGCTTGCAGGCTACGGGAGTGGCGTTGTGACTAGAGCACAGGAGGGAATGATAATAGGATCAGCTTCTAGTTGTAGAAACACTGCTGCTGGTGGTAGCGGTTCCGACTATGGTGGTGCAATTCCTCAACGACTACAAGCAGCAGAACTACAACGTTCAACCGGAGCTGGCTACAGCTTGATAGCCCTCTCATCTCCCTTTTCAATGACATCGGACTTTTTTACCTCTGTCTTTATCTTTAGCCGTGGACGACATCCGAATCAAGGTATACTGGAGCATGGCGGTTTGCACTTTTCTCTCGCAGTGCTACTGTTCTTTCTGTTCCTTACGCAGAGATGCGCAAGTCGCGGGTCGAAGCAGCTGTTTTTGTTCTCCTGTGGGGTCCTTCTCGCAGGTTTGGCCATCTGCATAGTGGCCATCGTCTTTCGCGCACTGGACCGAGAATACATGCCCTTCCGCTTCTTCCCCAGCAGCTCTTCTCTAGTGTTTTCCTTCTCGCCACTCCATTTGAGGCGGGCACTACTTTTTTTGGGGTCGTCAACGTCATCTCCTCCATCTGAAGAAGAACAGAGTATAACAAGTAACCCAGCACTTGTAGTTCCAGCATCCAGATCGACGACCTCCCCATCAACACCAGAACCCAGCAGCACTACTGCTTCTTTCCTCCGGTCCTTCGAGAACCGCCTCGGGCTCAACCTCGACTGCAGTGGCTTCGTTCCCAGTGCCACTGCCACAGGCGTCGCGGTTCTGATTCTCCAAGTCTATTGTTTTTTGCTGTTGGCGACGAATCGCAGCAACTTGCAGAAGGGCGATTTAGATCGGCAGGAATTGTTGAGACATCTAGACTACTACTATGGGGACGAGGACGAAAGAGACCCAGGAGCTGCACTTGATGATGAAGAAAGTAACATCCGCAGGATCAGTGGAAGAAGTATTATGGATCGAGAGGGGGACCACGTCGATTTAGAAGGCGTAGATGGTAACGATCGTGGAGCCCTAGAAGTGGCTGAGCGTAGACAACTTCTGTTGTTGCGTCCTCGATTGTCCAGTAGAATTGGCAGTAGAATTGACAGTAGTTCATCTTCAAGTGATGAAGAAGACGAGGAGGGCAATTACAGCAGTTCGAGTGTAGCCTCTTCTAGGCGAAGCAGTCGAGATCAACGTACTCGGAGCAGGAAAAGAAGTCGACGTGGAAAAGACTCAGAACAACAGCAGCAGGTATTTCATATCCGAGACCCTCCTCCAGCGCGTGGCAGACCGAGAACTACGTTAGGAGGAAGACCTTCGGTTCCACCTTCATTGGCAAGAAGTTCCAGTGGCCCTGCGAGAACGAAGAAGGCTAGAAAGATGCATCAAATTGAAATTCCACCCGCAACTCATGATCCATCCGCACCAATTGAAGACCGAGACCGTCCATCCCAAGGACCTCCAACACGTGCATCAGAATATTACACTGATGCTTCGATCTGATGAAGACCATATGCCCCGCATACTTTATGAGTACTTACATTATGATAACCTCACCCGCCACGCGCACCACACCCACGACGCCTTCGCACCCTCTTGTTCCATTCATATTCCACACGCATCATTGATCATTCGTTTACTTTTCTGGCATTTTGATACTCATTTTCCATTTAACGCAAAGTCTTTACCGATGATCCAGTACGTAGCCTACGTACAGTGTCCTCCTACGAAGCCCGATCCGGGTCTCCCAGGGCTTGAGCAAAGCTTAAAATCCTCTTGTTCTCAATCCTGACTCGCGTACGACAGTTCGGGAGCCGCATTGAAAAGTCAGTTTCTATTTCATGGTTTCTATTCCTCTCGGTGAAAAAGAAAATCCAAATCAATCATTATTTAAGAGATTCACATGCACTTCAACATCCATGGCAATTGTTTGTGGACAACTGTTGAATGCGGACATCCGGTTGCTCCTGATGTTCAGTTCTTGAATTTTAATCTGACCAAGCCATTACCATGTATGCCTAGGAACTTCAATCTCAATCTAAATTTGCTTGGACCTACACTTTCCAACTGCGATCAAGAACAAGAACAATTACTATGGTGAATTCAAGTGGAGTGAGAAACTCTTCATGTTAGTAGCTCCTGCGATTTGTAGCTCATTCCTGGTATTCGCTTCGACTACACTCTTCACTGCACAAGGGCTCTACATGATTCAATTGCAGGCATCAACATCACTCCCGGAGTGAGAGAGAAGCAAGTACCAAGATGATTCTCACCAAGATGATTCTCCGACGTTATGATGAATGTTGAACATCAACATGGGACGTCTCATCTTCTAACTGCCAACATGACATCTGGCCTCAACAAGAAGTAGCAAGCTCGAGTTTTAATATTCCTCGTGGGCGACGACGAGGACACTGTTGTTATTTGAAAGGATAAATCTACAACTCTGTTCGTTCAAGTCCAACAAGTATCTTCGTCCACTCATAATTTTCAAAAAAAAGTCCAACAAATATTTTGTTGCATAATGATTACAAGAAGAACGAATATCGAACAACATCTTCTACGTACTACTGTCTGTTATCAAGGTTCGACTTCAGCTAAGTACATCAAAAGAACATAATAAAGGCTACTGTCTGTTATAATCAAGGTTCAACTTCAGCTATCAAGGCTACATCAAAAGAACAACCTCCTGTAAGTAAAGTATCTTCAACAAGATGAATCCTTTCCTGAAAGACGAAGAGGAGCTGCGCAAGGCGTCGCGTTTCTCACGTACTTCGTCCGCTTTTTCTCCTCGTGAAGACGAGGTCATAGATTTCGGGTTCGGTGATGACGATCCCTTAGCTGGCCAAGACGATGATGACGTACTTCTTCCTTCAAAGAGTCGAGCGGAAAGCTTCGAACAGGATGGCGGAAATGACAATGGATCAAATGATGGCAATGTTGGAGCAGGAGAGGATGCAGCTATTGGTGAGGATTCTTTTCAACCTAGTGGTGAACAAGTAGAAGATCCGGCCGCTCCTGTTCTTGGAGATGATGAAAAAGGAACTACAAGCTGTTGTGCTGACGGAAGTGGAAGTTCCTTTGAAGATAGGAACACTTCTCCTAAGAACTCCGATGCTGCAGCTCCTGGTCGCAAACATAAAACTCAACGAGAAGTTTCTTGTTCTAAGGACGACAAGGATACACATGATAATTATAAAGTAGGGAAAACGGCCAGCACAAGTAGAGCAGCAACTCCACCTCCTCCAAGAGATGACCACTCGAAAAATAAGAGAATCGCTGAGAAGAAGAAAGGAAACACCGAAGAAGGTGAAAAGCAAGCTTCTGCTCCACTCAAGCAAAGTGCATGCGCTCGCCCAGGAGCAGGAGTCGCAGGTAGCTTTGTCGCAAAAATGGATGTGGACAGCGAAGGAGAAGGAGGCGACCAAAAACCGAATGCCAAAGAGGTAGTTGTACAAGTAAAACCGAAGGGGGTGCCAGCTTTAGGATCATCTGTGGCAGCTGTGGCAAGAGGTGCTGTAGGTGCAGGTACAGGAAAAGAAAATAAAAAAGAAGATACTACTACAGCTGGTGCTTCATCAAACAACAAGAAGGCAAGTCCAAGCCCTCCTACATTAAGCTCCACTTCTTCGCATAAATGTACTGCGCCAGCACGAAACAGAGATACGACTTCTGGCGTTTCGGCATCTACAGCACGTCGTTTAGATTCGTCATTGCTGCGTAGCGTTCGAACAAGGCGCACGCGTGGCGGCCGCTTGGTGCGAGAAAAACGCGAACGTCGTGAACGTGAAGAGGCAAGGACTGCCGCAAGAAGCCGATTCCGAAGCTCATTGAGGAGTAGAACACGTGGTGCGACGAGGAGGTCGAGAAGTACTAGAAGAGGTGCAGGCAAAAGTGTACGGCGTCGAAGTCGATCACCGCGTGCTCGAAGGAGCAAAAGTCGAGCACCACCTCCTGCAGGAAGCAGTAGAGGTGCAACATCATCTGCGAGGACAGGAGGTGGAGGAGGGGCGGTGGGTGCGGCGGTTTCTCCTTCTACTGGTGCAAAAAATGATGACAAGAACAACGCGAAGAACTCTCATTCTGCGAATACTGCTACATCTTCTGGTAGATCCAAGGCACCTTCCCCAACTCCTCATGCAAAAAATACGCTGGAAGAGGTTAATAAACTGCTGCTCGCTTCTTCTGGTCCTCACAAAGAGAACAAAGAGAAAGACATCAAGGAGAACAAAGACCGCGGGCCTAAGACCAAGGCCCCAGTCATAATTTTGTCCCCTGCACGACCTCCAACCCGAGCAGCTGCAGACCGCGCTGATGTCGTTGTTGTAGCAGCACCTTCGGTCTTTCCACGTCCAGACGAGGGTGGCTCCGCCGTAAAGTTAGTCCCAAATTCGCAGACGCGTTTAGAACTGCTGGAGAGCGATGAGCGGGAGGCTAAGCGGGCTCGGTTGGAGAGGAATGACAATATTACTACAGCTTCGAGGAGAACAGCTGAAGATGCTCCAGCGCGTCGTGGCGATCGTGCACGTGCAGATGAAGAGCATGGTCGCAGAAAGGCTGGTGGAGAAGACCGTACCAGAGCAGCAGCTGAAAAGGTTGTCGTCGGTCGTCGTGAAGAAGATATGAACAACAGCAAGCCGAGCAACATCCAAGAAAAGGTTGTCGTCGGTCGTCGTGAAGATCTGAACAGCAAGCCGACCACCTCCACCAGCATTCATAAGGATGACTACATGAAAGAATCGCTTGCACCTCCTGCAGCAGAACCTGCTGAGGGGAACGATCCTCCACCTTCCACTACGGAGCAGCGTTTGAAAGAGGCACGACAAGCCCTTGCTGAAGTGAGTCGGAAGCTGGAAGAAGCACGAAGAGGCATGGATGCGCAGAAGGAAGAGAAGGCGAAAAGGAACGGTATGGGCGACGAATTCCTTTCGGAAAGGGCGCGTGACGAAAAGAATGAGCAGCGTTGGAAGAGCAGGAGCGACGCTGCGAAAAGAGAGGCTACGACCGATAGAAGGAATGATCGTCGCGATGCTCCTGCTACCGATAGGAATGATCGTCGGGGAGAGCGAGATCGAGACGCAACATCAGGAAGACATCCGAATACAGTGAGATACGGATACACTGGAGGTAGAGTCAGTGTTGCTCCAGCATCTTCAAGGCCCTCGAAGGACGTAGCTCCAAGCTCGGCTAGATCTCACAAACCCGCTGCTGACGTTGGCAGTCGCGGTCCTGCTTCGCGGTACAGCCATGTTTCCTCGGTCAGGCCGCAGGTGCCTTCTAGAGAGCGAGGAGGAGGACGTGAAGAACGGGGCGAGCGAAGGGCTTCGAAAGAGCGAGGTCGGCGCCCTTCGAAAGAGCGCAGGGCTTCTAAAGAAAGAGAACCACGTGGTGATGGCCGTTGTATGAGTACTTGCCCGGATCCGAACAGGCGAGGAACCAACCTAGTAATTAAAAATAGCACTACAGGAACAGGAGGAGCCCTAGCTGCTACTACGACTAACGCAGCTCGTACGGCCTCAAGACACGATGAGTCTGCTAAAACAGCTGGTGCGGTTGATCAAGCTAACGCTAAGAACAATGCAGCAGCTGCGAACTCCTCCACAATGACCTCTACCTTCCCTATTCCGCCATCTACTTCTTCGAAAACAGGTCCACGACATCAACTAGATGATACTCGAAATGTAAAACAAGGAGAACAAGCAGAAAACCGTAATCGTGTTGATGATAGTCGAGACACCAGCAATTTTCCTTTTGGCGCAACGGGCAAACCTTCCCCCGGTGTCAACAATACTCTTACTCCCGCGTCTTCCCCGGACCAGCAGGTAAGGAAAGGACCTCAAGTGATACATGTTGCTTCTAGTAAGAAGACAATCTCTAAGACGACCACATCACTGCCAGAAAGTCCCTACAAGGCTTTCGATCCTCCTAAAGATATCACTCAGACCACCTCCACCACGACTGGCAAAATGAATCCGCCTCCTCCACGTCGTAAGCGTGGCGCCGCTGGAGGAAGTGCCTCAGGAAATCCGAATCATGTGCCCTTGGGCAGTGCTGGAGGACTACAGCAAACCGCGATGACAGCGAATGACTCGTCGTCTTTTAGCACTTTTCCTGCAGGAGGAACTTCGAAAAAGAACACGCCTTCTGCCTCTCCTGCAGTTGTTCACAACGGGAGCAACAGCACTTTTCCCACTTTCTCGAAGACGTCTTCTACAGGTGGCGTGAATGATCGTGCTGGCGCTCATCAAGTGGACAGCGCTAAACGACCCTCTCGTCCACCGCCTCCTGGCGGAGCAGCTGCAGAACAGCAAGCAGAAGTTTCCTCTTTTTCGGTGGGCAAACTTCGAGGTTTCCTCAAATGTCCCACAGTCTTGGAAACTGAGTGGAAGAGTAAGGAAGCGCGGTTCCACTTTCTAAGTGAGCATCATCACGACTGCAGACCTTGTGATATCGCTCCTGGAGATCGGGTCAATGTGCGCTCTTGGCGCTGGAACGACAGGGCTACAGAAGTAGAAATCGTGTCATGGAGACTTCAGCGTGGATTTGCTCAGCACAAGGATGCTAAGGTCGTCGGGCCAGGAACTGGAACTGGTGGAGTTACATCATCTACTAGGAGTGGTGGAGGTGCTGCTGTTGCTGTTGGCGGAGACCGTGGAGGTCATTCTCATACTGGAGGCAGCCACACTAAGCATGATCGCAGAGCGGGTGAAAGGGGAAATCACCAACATCATACGTCTGATCGGGACAGAGGCGCGGCTACTGCAAGAAGACCCCCTTCCCCTAGTGCTAGACGTGGTGGAGAGCGGGAACGCGAGAGGGAACGGGATAGAGATGATAGACGAGGTGGAAGAGATGATAATAGGTATGACAAGAACAGAAGTAGACGAAGGGGTAGATAAGCATAAGCAGGTTTGAATTCACATGTAGTATTGTGTCGTTTGCGTGTAAGTATTCCCAGCACCAGAACAAGTAGGGCCACGCTTCTATGTCTTATATCGTCTTGTTCATGATACTTTTTTTTACCTTTCATCTCCTGTCACTGCCTGTGCGTCCAAACAGATGAAACAGACGCATTTACATGAAAAAATCAATCCCCAGCATACGTTTGTCCATGGCGATATTGTCCTCGCTGCCACCAATAGATTCTAAAGAATCTAAATCTGCAGGTGAATGAGTTTCTTGACATCAAAACATAACCCTGGACTACGTCAAACACTAAAACACTTACTGATTCAGGTTGGTTTACCCCGAAGCATATATTTATCTTTATGTAAGTAAGTATTCCATTCCCGCGCTCAATTACATCAAGAAGCTGCTTGTGTTGCCAACACTCTTTCTTGTTGCCAACACTTTTTTTTGCTGTTTCTTAACCTTCGACATAATATTTCATTGGTGTGCTACCCACGCACCTCCCAGACCCCAGTGATCAACAAATTTGGAAGCGACGTTTGATTGTTGACGACGGAGAAAAAGCCGTCGCACATGGCTAGCATCGTGTCAATAGTAATATCGATAAAGATCCTCATGGGCCTGGTAAGGTGCTAGAGGCCGAATGGATCTAGAAGAACGACAAGTGGAAAGTTCTCGGACCGTGTCTCGTTCCTCAAAGACCAGGTCATTTCCGTTCACATGATGTTGTTGAGTTGAGTTCATTTGTTGAGTTCAAGGAGAAGGGAGAGCGATACTTCTGACGATTTCTTCAGTTGGCACCTTGAAAAGTCCGTTGTACTGGACACAAATAAAAAATCACCTTCATGCAAAATATAACGTTCCTGTTATTTCCCCTGCATTGATTTTTTGAGATCAGACAGACGGCGTGACGGAGTCCTCGGTTGTGCTACTTAGATATTAAATTGTAGATTGAAACGAGGACAGACAGTGGTCGATAGAAGATGCGGCTTGCTAGGCGGGCCGCCCCGGCCGCTGTCATTGGGGTCGTACCCGCAACCGTCATGGCGACACGTGGTGAGAACCCGATAAAGAAAGTCCTCAAGCTACTTGGAGAAATGCAGACAACGTTGGAGTCAGAAGCCAAGACCGACGATGAGCTCTTCAAGAAAATGGAGTGCTGGTGCAAAACAAATCGGGGTGAGAAAACCGAAGCGGTAGAAAATGCACAGATTATGGCTGGCACTTGTTGTTGTGAAAAATGTCGTGTGTACAACAAGCCCTACTTGTTCAAAAAAATGCGACCTCATCCTCGCGCACCAGGGGACGAGGTCGTGATTTGATCAATACTCTGAGATGAGGCAACATCTGACGTTTGTTCCTGCACACTGGCACTGGTGCCGAATAGGACGATCAAATAACCTCATGAGAACAAGGGACATCGATCAGGATTACTGCACCCAGAACCTCAACGTGCTGTACCAACAAATACAACGTGTTGTACCAAGATGAACTACGTCTCTCTCTTCTTCTTCTAATCTCTAGAAGATAGAAAAGCTGAATGGCGTGATAGACGAGCAGACGGGTTTGATTGCAGGATTATCGGAAGAGATCAAGAACTTGAAGGAGAAAATAGCGAAGGAGGAAAAAGAGGTAGCAGATATGGAGAAACTCCGATCTGACGAAAAAGGTGAAGCAGAAAAATTTCAGGCAGAGACAAAGGACACAATTGAAACCCTAGGAAAGGCTCTCAGCGTGCTAGGCGGCGTGCAGACGAGAGGTGCTCATGAATATTTTCTACTGGTGTCTTCTCTTTTTCTCCTAGGACCACTATACGTATACCATCGCGTTATTGCTATATGATCAAGCTCCCCCTGCATCGAGCTGCCTCTGTTGTTTGCTTCTGGAACTTTTCTGCCAGCAGCACGACTGCTTAAGTTTGAAAAGGATTCCATGAATGAAGACTACTAGTGCTGGCGTTGGTGAAACGGGGACATTAGAGAGGATCTCACGGTCAAATCAGATTTAAATATGTTTTTGTGATCCTATTGTCCTGTTTTGTGGCAAAAATCAACTATCACAAAGACGAACGAGATGGTTACTGTATTTGAGAAGTTGTTCCATCCCGCACGTTCCCTCTCCCAGGTGCTCTCCTCGACGCCTCGCAAAAGCGTTCGCTGTCCTTCTTGCAAGAACGTCTATCCTCGGCTCATGCCTTCGATGCTGAAATGAAGAAAGATTTGTGGGCCGTCCTGGGCTCCCTCAAGAACGAAAAGCCAGGATTCTTTATGCTTGGATGAGAATAGTTGAGAGTGATGTCCACGCGCGTGCAGATCTGCGTAAGGGTCTCCTCGCAAGAACTCATTATTTGCGGGTCACCTTTTGCTAGAAGGGATATTTTTTTCGGAAATCTAAATAATCTAAAGATTTAAAATTCGAGGCTAATATCCTCAGCCGACCCACTTGTTGACCTCTTTCATACACTTGCAGCAGCCGCGCGACTATTCAGGCATGGAAGCCACAGCGCCAACCACGTTAGAGGGTGGTGTTGCGGGAGCAAATAGCTACAACTCCGCGTCTGGCGGTATCTATGGCGTCCTGCAACAAATGAACGATGACTTCAACGCCCAGTTGAAGGACAGCATTGACACTGAAGCAACAGCCGTAGCGAACTTCAAGAAGGCAAAGAAAGCGAAGTTGGACGTACTATTTCTAAAGACCCTGTTGTGTTGTGTTAGATGGGATTTAGATTTTTTAGATTTCGTTTCTGATCATAACCAACGTGAAACACACAGAGTACACCGTCCGTGTGGTACACTTCAATTCGCCCCTCCTACAGGAAATCGCTGCTTCCAAAGCCGACAAGGCTGCCAAGCAGAAGGCTCTAGGCGATGCCAAAATGACGAAATCCAATGCCAAGAAGGACTTGAAGTTGACCACCGCACAACTCGGAGAGGATGAGAAGTTTTTGTTGGAGCTCGAAGCCAAGTGCAAGGACGCGATCGACGGTCATGCAGCTCGTAGCCAGATGCGCAATGATGAGATCAAAGCCGTGGGAGAGGCGATTGGTAGAATTTACTAACTCCTCCAATATTATTAAGAGGTCCGTACACTAAAATTTCTGAATAATTCGATTGTTTGTTTCAAAATCACCAGGTATCCTCACCTCTGACGAGTCGCGCGACATCTTCTCGAAGAACTATTCCTTTGTGCAAGTTGGAGTTGCAACCTCGACTAAGGCCCAGGACGCTCGTAAGCATGCTGCCGTGATGGCTCTCCTTGAAGCAGCAAAGAAGACCGGTGATGCTCGACTCTCTGCCCTCGCTATCCAGGCTCAGCTCGACTCTTTCACGAAGGTATTACTCTACCTTGACCCTAATCGAAAATTGAAATTATCGTTTCGTCTTTAGATGATGTTGGCAATTACCAGTTGTAGTATGCGTTCATCCTTTACCGGAAAGTATATGACATCAATCTTCTCCCTTCGCTTCCACATCGATCACCGTTGTCCCCCTTGATGAGTCTTCTCCCAATTTCGAAACTACCAGATCAAAGAAATGATGATGAAGTTGGCTGCGGAAGTTGAGGCTGAGAAGAAGGCTGAGTTCGCCAAGCGTGACAAGTGCAATGCTGATTTGGCGGAGAACGAGGTCGCACGCACTGACACCTCCGTCTTCATCTCTGATACCGAGAAAGCGATTGCGAAGCTTGTGTCCGATATCGAGACTCTGGACAACGAGATCGCATCCGAAAATGCGTCTATCATTAAGGCTAGATGAATCAGAATTGTGTTTTCATGCTACAATGCAGGTAGATTAATCTCCATCTCCGGCTCCTCGTTCTTTTTGTTTTGATTCAGTACCCAGATGAAAGAACATGAACTTCGCGTCAGTTAAACTGTCGTTAGAACAATTGTCTCATCCAGCAATCGGCTACCACAGCAGAAAAGAGTTCTTGTTCGACCTCTAACACAAAGGAGATGCAAGGCGTGATCGCAGAAGCCACTGAGACCCGCAGAGCAGAAAATGCTGCTTTCAAGGAAGAAGTGAAGAACCAGGAATTGACCATGGGTGTTCTGGAGAAGGCCAAGGCAAAACTCGAAGGCTTCTACGGAAAAGTTGCCCTTGCTCAGCAGGTACTACTCTTCAGAAGGTGCTTTAGCTTCTGCCAGCATAGCCATCACCTCCCTTGAGGAAGAAAAAGATGAAAGACCTTGCTAGAGGACTAGCTTTCATCCCGTATACATCTAGCAAGACGTAGAAACGACCGATCACTGAGGTTTCACTATCGATCCCAGAACACCATGTGATACCAAACTAAAACACACAGGAGCCGGCCCCCAAGCAGGCTACTTATTCGAAGAACGAGCAGGCGCCGGGTGTCATTGGACTGTTCGAGATGATCATGGCGGATGCCCAAGCTGACATTGCGGAGGCCAAAAAGGACGAGCAAAAGGCGCAAACTGAGTACGAAAAGCTGGTCTCCGACTCCAAGGACTCGATCAACACCTCTGAACAGGCGATCGCGCAAAAGCAAACCGAGAAGGCCGATGCCGTATCGCAAAAAGAACAGAAGTTATGGGGCGGTGTTTTTACTAAACGCAAACCTTGTATTTTTACCGATAACGTAAGAAACCTTGTTCGTTTCATCTGGACCTAGTTGTACGAAAACACTCTTGTTCATCTTCTTCTAACCCACGATCTGGAGTCGAACCAAGCGGAGGAGAAGCTGGAATCCTTGGAGGCCGAAAAAGGTGCACTTCACGAGGACTGTGATTTCCTGTTGAAGAACTTTGACATCCGTCAGTCTGGCATGGAGAGCGAAATCGAATCAATCAGACAGGCTGTCGCTGTACTCAGTGGAGCCAACTTTGATTTTTAGACCTAGTTGTAGTTGATGTTTTTTAGATTTCTCAATTTGATGTTGGTGAAATGATGAAGAGTGATGTAATATTGTCAAGAGAACTTTGATTAATAGAGTGGTCAGGCTTGTTTTGGTTTGCCACTACAGATGGGTCGTGAATGTTGTGAGTTCAGATGCTTGTTGGCGTTGATTGGTTCTAGTTGTTGTCATACAGTTTCCAAGGAGAAGTTAGTTTTATCATCAAATATAGCGACCCCAAGCAAAAGCATGTTTCCACGGCATAGTTCAATGCATAGTTTAACTCTCATCAACGACCGACGATTACGACGAATGTTCCTGAAAATGTTTTCCCTTTCTTCAATGATCAGCATAGAAGGCATGTTTTCCGATAGAAACTGTTAAGAATCCCACCACTTTTCTTTTCTAATAACGACGATCATCTAAAACTTCTAAATTTCCTAAAACGACGACAATGACAATCTATTTTTTCTGGAGTTTGGCAACGACGACGACACTTTTCTTGAGATACAATTGGCATACGATTCGATGTTTCAGTATAAGCATTTCAAACGGTGGGGGAAGATGAGGAAGAAACTGGAAAGCATGTCTTCTTGCAGATGCTGGCAACGCATCCACAAGGCATAACGGCCTCCATGCTAGGTCAACGTCATCAGAAGGGTGTTCGCAACACAGACGTCGGTGTCCTGCAAACTGTCACTGGTGAAGCTTCCTTCGCTTTCAAATGGCGGAATGCGACCATCTGCTTAAAGTCGGAGTCAAAGACAAAGATCCCAATGGAATATGAAATTTGGTCCTTCATCTCCTTCGCTATGTGGTTCAGAAATGCGGCCAGTCTTTGCTTTGTTGCTCTTCTTATTCAAACGCAATATCTATGCGACCGTGCCGTGCTAAGATGCAAAGATAGGATCTCTTGCAAATTCGCTGAGAACGATTCATCTGAAATCAAATGTGCCACACACTGCCGAAAGGATCCCTGAAGATGCATGTTCCTCGAGATCCTAGCCCTTGAATGTATCTTCAGTGCCAGGGTATAGTGGAAAAAAAGGGGATCATCTTTATCAAACGAGCAGTAAACGAGAAGACAGAAATACGATCATATGAACATGGGGAATCGCTGTCGTGCCAAACAATGCTATTCTACTTAGACGCATTCTTTTGTTTTTGGTACGACAGGCAAATTGGCAGGTACACAACGCGCCCGACCCATTAGCCACCCCTATATCCCCTTCAGAGCTCCTTAACATCCTGCGCTGTTTCACCCATAACATAGGTATGCGCATCTAGTACACCCCCATTACGATCGAAAGAATGTGCCTGTTACAGCTCGAGAACTACGTTTGATATTCGTGACAGCCTTTGTAGAGCATGAGTAGAAACAACGATATTTTCTCACATTGAGTTTCCTTGAAGATTTTCTACTGTAGTTTAAACTGAACCTCCCGCACAAGAAAGAGGACAAAAAATGGCGACAATTTCCTCAGCGATTCATCACCTGGACATTGGAAGCCATGCTGCGGCTTCCAGTTCGTCTTCAACTGCCGTTTCGGCGCTCGAAAAGGCCAACCAGATGGTCATCAAAGCCGACGTAAACAAGGAGGGTTGGGAATCAAGTGATTTCCCGATCCTATGCGAGACCTGTTTGGGACCTAATCCCTACGTCCGAATGGCCAAGGAGGAATACGGCATAGAGTGCAAAATATGCACGAGGCCGTTTACGTTGTTTAGGTGGAAGCCGGGAGCGGATGCGAGGTACCGACGTCGTTATGAATTTTTCTTTGAAGAACAACATGTGAATCGCGAACAAGTTGCTGCTCAACAACATCGCATCAAACGATTTCTTGAGTTTCGCATCAAACGATTTCTTGAGTTTCCTGTAGATCTCCGCAAAGGATGAAGAACCACAAATCCAACAAATCCAACTTCAAGGTACAAAGCAACCGTGGTTTGTCAAACATGTGCGCGATTGAAGAACTGCTGTCAGACGTGCCTTTTCGATCTAGAATACGGGCTGCCGATTCAAGTCAGGGATCAGTACAACATTAATTTACCTTGTTCCTAGTAGTAGTAGTAGTAGAAACAGGAGTAGTAGTAGTAGTAGGCTAGCCACACATTTTCATACTCGACTTATAAGCAATTACTTTCCTACCAGTAGCAATTTCGTTTCTTCAATTACCTAGATCCAGGCATCCACACGACCAAATAAACCTCGAATCACAGGCACCTCGCAGAAAACGAGAGGATAAATATGCCGGATAGTATCGTCAATCGAGACTACTATATCAATCAGCAGTCAGCGAAAATAGAAAGCGGAGAATTGCCGTACGGCAGAGAAAAAAATCCGATGCTGATGAAACTTGCGAGAAAAAATCCATACTACAAGCGAAACGAGGCAAAAATTTGCAGTTTCTTTGTGAAAGGTACAGCTGTTATTTGCCTAGTTGTTTTTACCTCGATTACTAACTCGACCTGGATGAATGTGTCAAGAAGAAGAACTACAACACTACGGTAGAAGTTAGAATTTATTTGACATTCATCATGACGATGAACCTACTGATGTTACAACTTCTTCTTCTCCTCGTCTCATCTGCTCCGACTTCTCCTTTAAAGGACCGTCCCTGCTAATCCTATTAACCCTTGTCTCAGGAACTTGCAATCGTGGTGACGAGTGCCCTTTTCGACACGAGATGCCTGAGACTGGTGAATTGAGCAAACAGAACGTCCGCGACCGTTTCCATGGCACCAATGATCCCTTGGCAGCAAAATTGAACCGAGTAGCGAACGAAAAGCTCACTCTGAAGCCTCCAGAAGACAAGAGCATTACGACGCTATACGTTGGAGGTAATGTTCACTTCTGACCTGCTTGTTGAAGATCATGCAAATTTTTACGATTTCTGGAGGATAAAGTACTAGGCTCCTGGAGTCACTGAAAGAAGAAGAACTTTTCTATCTTGTTCTTCAAATATTGTCTCATCGTTAAACAACTTATCGGGTCTTCACGACATCAAGAATTTTCCATCCCTGCTCCAAATTAATACCCGCTGCACAACAATTTTTTCATCTTGTTTCTTCAAAATCAGGTGTCGACCCCAGCATCTCTGAGCAGGACTTGCGCAATCATTTTTACATTCATGGCGAGCTGAAGATGATCAAAATGATCCCAAAACAGAGCTGCGCTTTCGTCGTCTACCGTGTGAGAGAAGCAGCTGAGGCAGCAGCTGAGAAGCTGTATAAAAACCTGAAAATCAAAGGCCACGACTTGCGGATCCAGTGGGGCCAGAAGATGAAGACGAATGCAGACAAAGCAGCTGAAGAAGCAGAGGCAGCTAGAAAGCGAGCCACAAACGACAAGCGAGACCCACTAGCTGCGCCAGGCGACCAGAAACACTACTACCCAAGTATGAACCCTATGAACTACAACAATGCACCATTGATGGAGGGAAATGTTGCCGGAGCAGCTGGGAAAATGAAAGGAGGTGGTAAAGACGGAAAAGACGCGGCTGGAGGTAAAATGAAAGGCGGGAACGGGGGAATGAATTATCCAGGAGATAAGGGATCAAAAGGTGGAGGTAAAAATGCGAATATGATACCACTAGGAGCAGGAGGACCGGGAGGGCCAGGAATAATGGCAGGACCACCAGTGAACTTTCCAACAACAGGTCCACCACCTTTTCCGGGTTTCGAGCGACCACCAGGATATGGTCCGGCAGGCAAAGAGGGCGGTGCGGGAAAAGGAGCGGGCCCTTACGGGAAGTGAACACGCTCACGCCAATAACACGAACATAATTAATGAGAAATTGTAAGACCACACTTAACAAACTACATGCTCGAGTGAAGAGTTGTTGTACTTCTACGATTTTGATTTGGTTACTTTACTTCCCTCGGGAAAGAACGATTCCCTCGGGATTGAACTTGGTAAGGCTATGGCCGAAACGGTCGTAGATAAAAATGTACTGTGGTGCTTTTCTCCCTAGCACCAAATTTACTTTTCGACAGACCCGATGGCTTTCTGCGACCCAAAAATAAAGAAATTGAAAGGAAAACGCACGCACAGCAAGGAGAACATCAGGAAAAGTTCGGCATACCGCGTCCTCGTGGTTGACGAGACACGTCTTTCGCTGGAAGTTTATTGCGGTGACAACATTTTATGGTTGAATCTGTTGTTTCCACTGAGCATCGGAGATAGACGCACCCGATCATCATGTACAACATCAACAACCTTGTATATTGTAGACTGTGAAAATGACGAGAGATTATACAGTGAAGAAATCTATCAAGTATCGGTTGTTTTATGCAGCACACCAGAGACACTGTCAACCTCATGCTCAACGATGTCAATGAAAATTCACGAGGAGTGTTCCCGCTTGAGAGTAGGACCGTAACGGATCTTGATGAAGATGATTTGATCACTGAAAAGTACGAGTAACTTTGTGTTTATCATCTACTACATCTAGGGTTGTTATCCTTATCTGTCGTAGAACCACGAGCACGACCACCTAATTTTCCGATTCATTCAAAGAAGTATTCTTTACATATTGAATTTTTTTTCTCTCCTTTTTCTCCCCACACTCCTACTTCCCATGACCTCTTTCTGCTACATCGATCCTTTTGGTATTTTTGAGGATTGTCATTTTTCTCTTATTTGGTCGAAGGAAAAGCGCTATGTTAAGTCATAATATATTTGATGCGCGCGCAAGAAATATAAATTATGATCATGCAGACAACAATGACAACTACAACGTTTACTTTAGAGTCGATTCTTTAATATCAACATTTTTTGGACTATCGTCAGCTCCTGAGGGTCCTCTGAGTAGGTCTATGTCCGTTCGCCTACATTATATAAATCCATTTTCTAAGGTAGTAGATTGACATATGAAATCATGATGGGAGGGTCTCGTTCTGCATCTTCTGCTGGTGAGCCTGTGGTCCCTATCCCCAAGGGTGATCAATTTCCTGGTGCTGGCTCTGATCTTGACGGAGATGAAAAGAAGATCACGGAGATGCAAGTCTCCACATCTACTCGATCCAAAGAAGAGAACAAAGAGCGCGAGCGACTCCCTCTGGACCCGTATTACTCATGGATGAATCGGGTTCTGTTTCGCAAATCCGAAGAACAGATTGAACTGCAGGAACTCCCGCCACTGCCATCAAGGGATTTGCTTTTGCGCAAGAGGAACTGGAAGAGAACTGGAAGCGGAGAGCTTCCTGAGCAACCACCTGGTGGACATGAAGGCTCAAGCAGTAGTACGTTTGTCAATCTTCAACCCTTGAGGAGTTCCTTTGTCTATCGCATCTGGTTGGACGAGCGGCGGTCTCTCTTGACAGCTACTGTAGTACAATTCACCCAACTAGGGTGTCAAGTTTCGATTCCATTGTTGATTCACTCTTTCGTTTTGAGCTTGGAAAGTTGCAGCAACCCTGACGCGGAGAAAGAGAGGCTCTTCTACCCCATCGTGGACCTGTACGGAACGAACGATGTGGCATGTGGTGCGGACTCTTATGAAGAACATAAATGGACTACTAGACAGAATCTATAGTACGAGAGAAGGAGAAGTAGGACTGTTCTTGAACAAGAACAGCAGTGAGAGTTGTACTCAAAAGAACTTGCTCCTAAGAATGTACTAAACAAGTTACGAGAACTTCTTGTTCGAGGACCTTGGACTAAGACTATAATCGGTGTATCAACGGCGCGGTTCATCATCACAACATCCTCTCTAATCCCGGTCCCTCATTTCCGGTGGCATTTCCGGCTTCGCCGACGTGAATCCCAAACTGTTTGCCTACGTATTCGCTCAGTGGGCGTGTGCGATGGGAAGTGCGGCTCTGCAGAACATGAACTTGCATTTGATGTACAACATCGGACAACGGTTGCGTGCGAGAACGATTCAGCTTGTATGGATGAAGATCCTGACGTCTCATGCAGCAACACTGGACCAGGGCTTGGCACTCAATTTGATCGCAAATGACGCCCAAAGATTTGTCGAAGTGGCACCGCTGTTTCAGATGGTACGTATTACCAGGACGCCATTTGCTCCATCCCAATTTATATTGATCTTAGTGGTTCTTGAACTACTTATGGTAGATAAAAAAGACTTGTAAATAGCCGTAATTCATTTTTATTTTGCACATAGACAGGAGCAGGAGGACCAGGACCTTTTCAGTTTCAATGTTCCCCGCTTCCACTCCAACTCCAGGAACTGTTTTGTCAGCCTTAATGGTCACTTCAGGAACTCTCTTGTCTTGCTGTTGCTGAAAGTTGACCTTTTGAGACATGTTGATGATGATCCAGGTATACACCGCTCCAGCCCTGGTCGTCCTCTGCACCTACTGTCTCTTTCTGCTTATTGGTGTGCCGACGATGATTGTGGTTGGAGGGTTGTTATTGATGATCGTGTACAACGTGAACATCAGCCGATGGCTTCAACGAGTCCGCGCAAGACGGGTTGCTTTGATTATGAGTGTACATCTCTACTTAACATCCGCACAAACTACACCAACGTAAAAATAACCCCTTGTGGAGGTGTCCTACTCCTATTTCTTGACAACTACATAAGTTTAAGTTGTGAACAATTACAAGGCCTACAAAGAACTCCTCTAATGCCTCCGACAAAAGAATGCGGCTGTGCAATGAGCTTCTACAGGGCATACGGATCGTCAAGTACTTCGCGTGGGAAGCACCATACGTTGCTAAAGTTCGGGAAATGAGGAAGAAGGTGAGCAGGTTTCTCCATCTTGTACTAGTCGAGACGAAATATTCATGGTGACCTCCATCTTGTAGTCGAGACGAAATAAGCTTCATGGTGGATCATGAAATGGAATTCTTGAGCCTGTTCTTGGGCTACAGAGCTTGCGGCTGCCACCCATTACATTTGAAGACAGAAAACAGGATAATGTGATATCTTCATCTACTTCTGCATTCATCTTGACAATCAAATTACAACCACTAAATTACAGGAAGTCCGTCTAGCCCGAAACGAGATGATTGCGCATGGTATGAATATGCTTTCCTATGCGTTCTGGCCTCAGTGTTGTATCGGCGTGTCGATGGTAGTTTATTCCTTGGCATTCGGAAACCTTACGCCTTCAAGGGCATTCGGCACACTGGTTTTCATCGGTGTCCTACGGTTTCCCTTGATTCGCATGGGTGACTGCGTTATGGGTATTATGCAGGCTCGAGTGGCAATCAGACGACTTGAAGCGTATTTGTTGGGAGAGGAGGGTGGACGTCGTGGTTGTTTGGCAGTGGGTAATGATTGTGGTTCAGATTCGGATAATGCTACTTCTGGGAAAGAGGGATTTTTTAGCAAGAAAGAGGACGACATCCTAATCCACTTTCACAACGCCGACATCCGCTGGTCTACTGCCGCAAGAGAGGCCTTCCAAAAACAACAAGAAAGCCTCCTGAACGCTAAGAGTAAAGCAAGCGTAGCAGGAGGTGGACAGTCTATAAGCATACTCCCCAACTCCTCATCTCCAAAAAGAGCGTTTGATGCTGCAAGGAAGGCTCGCAGAAGCGCTGGGTCAGTCCTGTTACAACTGTTGAATTTCAAGGACGAGAATCTGGGAGCTTCTTCCGGCATTGAAGTAGAAGAGGGGGCTTTTGAACGGAGGAAAGCCGAGCAGGCAGAAAAGGGGACAGAAGATGAAGAAGTGCAGGGAACAAAGGACATCATCAAGTGCGAAGAAGAGAGGGATAGTAGAAGTAGAGCCATAGTAGAAGTAGAAACTGCCAGGGATGAAGAGGACCCTGATCTCGGTCTACTTTCAGCCACGCTGCAGGAGAGAGATGCAGAAGTAGCGGATCCATCATCTTCATCACTTTTTTTGAATGCGATGAAAGTCCTCGACGTTTCGCCACCATTGACAAATGCGCCAACGTTACGAAGTCTTACGCTGACGCTGCGACGTGGGGATTTTGGTGTGCTCTTTGGTCGCGTTGGTGCTGGAAAGAGTACTCTTCTCTACACGCTTTTAGGAGAAACGATTGTACAGGATGCGAGAGAACAGGCTCGAGTAGATGATGATGTTGAAAATGTTGATGCTGAACAGACTTCTACTAGGTTTCCATCACCACCAGAGGCACCAATTTCTAGTGGTCTACTCTGTCGAGACCGTAGCGGAGTGACCAATCTTTCTTCTGCAGCTTCAACATTGAGCCCTAACTTGTCGAAAGAGACTAGTGCGCAAGCGGAAGCGTTGCCAGAACAAGTTGATAAAGAAGTAGAAGCAGAACGTCAGCACGAACACGGTGCTCAAGAACAAGCTACAACCAAACGCATGGCTTACTGTAGTCAGTCTCCGTGGATTCGCAACTGCTCCATCAAGGAGAATATTCTCTTTTTGCGTCCTTTCGACAAGCTAAAGTACGCTCGCGCAGTCGATGTTGCCTGTCTAGAGGCAGACATGAAGCAGTTTCCACACGCGGACAACACTGAGATTGGCGAAAAAGGAGTAACTCTCTCTGGAGGGCAAAAAGCAAGGGTAGCTTTGGCGCGCGCAATCTATGATGCAGAGAATGTGGATATTTTCTTACTAGATGACATTTTTGCGGCATTGGACGTGCATACAGGCCAAGCTGTACGGTGTAAACTCTTCGAGAATCTCCTTGATGCAAAGCAACATGCGGTGTTGCTGGCTACAAGTCAGCATATGAAAGCTTGGGGTGCAGCGGGTGCTGGACAAGAAGTTGTGTCCTCTACTACTTCTGACGAGGCCGCCACAGGAACAATGAAAATACGTCGTTTCGCGATCAGTCGCACATCTGGGAGATTCAAAGAGTTGAAGCCTGAAGAGAGTCCTGCAGGGATTGCGGCCACTGGACCGGTCACCCAGATGGATGATATTAATCTTTCCGAACAGAGGCCACTCGAAAACGCTAGCTACGCGAATCCGCAGAAGGTAGTAGAGGATGCAAGCACAACATCTAGCGACAAAGTAGAGGACGTTAATATATCAGATGATCAGGAGGTGGATGAAAATGATAACGAAATAACCACGGAGAAAATGGGTAACATCAAGAACGAAAACCACATCAAAAACAACAAAGATCCCGATTTGATGCAGAAGGAGGAACGCGCGACTGGCTCTTCGCTAAAACGCAAAACGATCCATCTGTACATCACTTCTATGGGAAAGATTGGCTTTCCAGTACTGCTTTTCTGGACCATCTGCGTTAACTGTGAGCGAGCCAGTATTGTCGGTTATGACGCGTGGGTCGCTGAGTGGAGCCGCTGCAACGTGGAACTGGAGTTAAGAACACTTCCCGATCATCTTTGTCCCGTTTCGAAAGGGAAACGCGCACGGAGATGCTCACCGGGATGGTGGATTTCTGCAAGTTCTAACGGAGGACGTCGCAGAGAACAGAAGACAAACTACAGACTGTGTGCAGACTGACTCTGACTCATTCTATGTTGGAATTTACCTGGGCTTTCTAGTAAGTGGCTTCTGCTTCATGGCCACGGTGCGATTGATCGGGCCGTTCATGTGCTCGCGAGCATCAGCGACTTTGTTTGACCGCATGTTGTGTGCCGTGGTACGGGCGCCAGCGTGGTGGTTCGACACAACACCGATCGGGCGTCTGTTGAATCGATTCAGTTTCGATGCAGAAATCTTAGATTCTCTGCTGTTCTCGCAGATGTTCGCAGCATTGGTCTCCCTCAGTTGGACAAGTGGCGCATTGGGGCTACTATCCTTTGTGTACTTCCCGTTCTTCTTCTTCGTACTCTTATGGTGAAAAGAATTACTACCCGGTTCCATCAACGCTTACACTAGATTACAGTATGGCCAGAGCAGTTTATAGCACGCATGTTGCATGGAGATGGAGTAGCTTGGAGTGCATGGAGCGCAGATCCATAAGGGACGCAAGAAGCGCCCTCTTTAGCTCCATGCAACTCCATGCGGTCCATGACCATGCGCTCCATTCTATGCGAGCTGGCAAGTCTTCTACACAAATTGTTCTGGCCTACGCAACGTTCTCACATCACACTCGTACATCTCCTCCAATTACTACAACACCTGTTTCCTTTACAACCCGTCATCTCTCCCTGAGGACCCCTTCTAACGGCTCCCGTTTTCGTGTTTATCTATGCGCGTTTGTTGGGCGTATGTCGTGGAAGTATTCGAGATTTGCAGCGATTGAACGCCACCACACGGTCTCCTATTATCGCCTTAGTAACCGAAGCGTGTGCAGGTTTGACGACGATTCGATGCTTCCGTCTACGCGAGACATACGAGAAACAAATGTTACGGGGGCAAGTCCAAGGCCTTTCATGAAGAACAAGAAGTTTTTAACGAAAATTATCGGTTTGGTGATCATATTGGTTCTCCACGCCAAAAGTCATCTGCATTGTCAAACGTGGAAGTAGAGGAAGCATATGTAGAAGAGTTCTTGTTCAAGAAGTTTATGTCCTACGGCTCGTCCTCTTCCACATCCACTTCCACCTATTTCAAGAACTTCTTCTCTAACCCCTGCTTCCCTAGTCGACGGTAATTCCAGAGCGCTTTTTGCATTTAACAGTGCCAATCGATGGCTTGGTGTCCGTGCTGAGTCCCTATCCGCCTCCATGTCCCTTATCGCTGGCTGTCTAGCAGTCCTGCTTCGCGTGTCTGCTGGCGAACTGGGTCTCTCTCTAGTTTGGTGCATGAATTTGTCCTTGAGCATGAACTACACGTGTATGTTTTTTTCCGTTTTCGAAGCGGCGTTTACGAGTGTGGAAAGAGTTGGGGAGTACGGGAATCTTCCTAAAGACGGTAATCGGCATAGCGAATTTGAAGAGGACACTGTGTCTCTGATGGAGCATGGAGATAAAGGTCGGATCAATGCGGGTATGTGCAAACCGAACAAAGAGCAGAGTGTTGATGTCGAAGAACAAGATACTAGCTTGGAGCGTCCGATAACATCCCTCCCACTAGGATCCCCCTCCTCCCCAAAGTAAGAAACTAAGCAAGGCAAAGATGTAAGCGGTGCGCGTTTTCAAATTTCGAAAATTTTCCACGTTTTGCCATCGTTTGAGGGTTGGATCTCGTGCGTTTGAAGTCAAGGGCTAAGACCCCAAAGCTTTTCGACTTTAAGCCGTTCCGCTGAGATTCAACTTCTTGGATTTGCATTCTTCAAATTTCGAAAATTCTCCGCGTTTTATGGTCGTTCTGGGATTGAATTTTGTGCGTTTGAAGCGCTAAAGCCCCAAAGTTTTTGACTTTCAGCCCTTTCCCTGCGATTCAGTTTCTTGGCTTTGCATTTTTCAAATTTCGAAAATTTTCCACATTTTGTCGCCGTTTTGGGGTTGAATTCTGTGCGTTTGAAGTGCTAAAGTCCCAAAATTTTTGATTTTAAGCCCTTTCCCTGAGATTCAACCTCTTGGCTTCGCGTTTTTCCAATTTCGATAATTTTCCACGTTTTTCGTCGTTTTGGGAGTGAATCCCGTGAGTTTGAAGTGCTAAGATCCCAAAATTTTTGA